GCAGGCGCAGACACCTAGGAGTGCTCCAGGGCACGTGGCTAGGACGGCAGGGAAGGGGCCCAAGCAGCCTCCTTGTGGTCCCAGGAGCCAGGACCCCAGCCCGTCCTCTCCAGCCCAGGACGGGGAGCCGTGGTCCCCAGGACGAACTGGAAGCCATGCCCTCTTGCTTGGGACCCACAGTTACTTGGGGGCAGATTTGTTTGGATGTTGGGTGACATTTGTCCCAGCCCTAGTCCTGGAGGGCGGTAGCCGACAACCTTCCTGCAGGAGGACATGGTGAGAAACTTCTAGGAAGTCCTGAGGAACCCTGTGCACATCCTGTCCCTTGGCATGGCGAGTTCTGGGGGTGGAGACTGGTGCTATTTCACAGTCACAGTTGGGCAGATGGGCGTGGAGCTGGATTTTCCCGTTTCATTCCATTATTCATCAATGGGCCCATTGGCTTCAAAGCCTGGAGTTGTGTGCTTTTTGTTTTCAGTACTAGGGATTGAACCGGGCTTTATTTATTTATTTGTTTATTTATTTTTTGGTGGAACCAGGGATTGAACGCAGGCCCTTGCGCTTGCCAGGGAAGCGCTTATTCCACTGAGCCATCTCTGAGCCATCTCCCCAGCCCCTATTTATTTATTTATTTATTTACTTGTGTGTGTGTGTGTGTGTGTGTGTGTGGCCAGCTCAGCCCACCAGGGGGCGGGGCTGGCTGGCATGTGGTGCTGGGGGATTGAACCGCAGTCCCTGTGCTTTGCTGAGCTTGTTCTAAGTAGGTGCTTTAGACCACTGAGCCATCTCACCAGCCCTATTTATTTTTAATTATTATTATTTTTTTTTATGAGTGTAGGACAGGGTGTGCAGGGTATACAGGATCTCACTACGAAGACGAGACTCGCAGTGATTCTCCTGTTTTCAGCCTCCCAAGCGCTGGGATTACTGGCACACGCCACCATGCCCAGTCTCAATCACTGTCTCAGTGCGCCCTGGGGGCAGTGCCAGCATGGCATACCAGGGCTCGAACCCCAGCCACTGTGATCTGCCTAAGCAGGCGTCTTAGTCAGCTGAGCTACCTGACAGGACTTATTTCTTTATTTTTAAAAATATTTTTGTCTTTTTTTTTTTAAACTAGAAAATTGAACTCAGCACCTTGTACTTGCCAGACAGGTGCTTGTGCCACTGAGCTATATTCCTGTCTCTTTTTGTCTTTTTGAGACAGGGTCTTACTTACTATGCAGGCTGTGTAGCCCAGGTTGGTCTCAGTTGTCGCAACAGAGTAGTGCAGTCAGGCTCAGGATACTGTGGTTCGATCCGGATCCCTATCCTCAAGCCTTACCAGACCTGCCCTTAAGGCATCCTGAGCCAGCCAAAAAAAAAAGAAAGAAAAATGAACAGAGCTGTAGTTCCCTGAGGCTCAGGAGAGGCTCCCAAGGCTTCCCCTGCCTACGGTGGCCCCAGGCTCCCCCAGAACACTTTTTCTTCGGAGGATCCTGGTCAGCTTCTTTCCTTTCTATCCTTTCTGAATCTCCCCCCCACCCCATGTTCCAGGGCATCCTCTCTGACCCACACACATAGCGGTGTCCCTAGCGTGTCACCTCATGTCATGGCACAAAGGACTCCTGTGAGAAGAAGGTCCCAGGTCGCTGGGACAGGGTTCTCTGTGACAGCAGCTGCCCCTCCTAGTCCTGAAGCCCTCACCTGGGGAGGGGCCTGCTGCTCTGAAAGGCCCAATGCAGTGTCACCAGCACTGAGACCCAGTTCCCAGTTCTGTTACTCCTATTTAAGTCCCTGGGCTTGGTCGCTTGTTTTTCTGTCTAGCTTTGTTCTTTTTTTTTTTTTTTTTTTTTTTTTTTGGCAGAACCGGGGATTGAACTCAGGCCCTTGAGCTTGCCAGGGAAGCGCTTATTCCACTGAGCCATCTCCCCGGCCCCCTAGCTTTGTTCTTGACTTTGAGGGGAGAAAGGCCAGGCCTAGCCTTAAACCCTTGGTTTAAGGTTGCCCTGGCCGTGGTGTCTGACTCTACAGGCCAGGCCAGACAAGGAGGTGCCCCAAGAGGCTATGTGGGTTCTAGTCATGCCCCCCTTTTCTCTTTTTTTTGGAGGGGGGCTTTAAACAACAGATTTCTTATCTTTATTATTTTTTTCCTTGTTTAAAAAACTTGAGACGGGCGATTGAGACTGGGCATGGTGGTGCGCACCTGGAATCCCAGGGCTTGGGAGGCTGAAAACAAGAGGATCACTACGAGTTTGATCTACATCATGAGACCCTGTAGACCCTGTAGGCCCTGTAGACCCTGTAGACCCTGTAAGCCCTGTAGGCCCTGTAGGCCCTGTAGGCCCTGTAGGCCCTGTAGGCCCTGTAGACCCTGTAGACCTTGTAGGCCCTGTAGACCCTGTAGGCCTTGTAGGCCCTGTAGACCCTGTAGACCCTGTAAGCCCTGTAGGCCCTGTGGGTCCTGTAGGCCCTGTAGACCCTGTAGGTCCTGTAGGCCCTGTAGACCCTGTAGGCCCTGTAGGCCCTGTAGGCCCTGTAGGCCCTGTAGGCCATGTAGACCCTGTAGGCCCTGTAGGCCCTGTAGGCCCTGTAGACCCTGTCCTAAATTCATAAAAACTAAAAACAGCGAGGGGGAGATAGCTCAGCAGCATAAGTGCCTGCCTGGCAAGTGCAAGGTCCAGAGTTCAATCCCCAGTACTGAAAAAATCAATAAATAAAACAATAAAAAAGGAACAATTTAAAAATTTTTACTTATAAACAGGCCAACAAAATTCATGAATTGTTCTCTTTCTTTTTAGAGGACACAAGACTAAAATTACTTTGTGCGTAGCTCGTCAGATTTCTGTACGGTAGCACAGAGAAGCCTGACAGGGCCGGGATGAAGGCACTGGCCGGCTCTGCTCTCTCCACAGCCCTGGGGCGTCCAGGTGGGCTTCCTCCTGGCCCTGGCTGATCCCTTCTGCCTTCCCAGCCTCAGTGTCCCTTTAGGGCCCCTGCCACGCTGCCAAGGACTGGAGGCCTGGGACAACAGCAAGTGAGTTTTGCAGCAGGGGATCCTGGCTGGGGTACCCCGAAGCCACACGCTGTGGCCTTGGCCCCGTGACTGCAGTAGGGGGTCGGTGTTGCCACAGCTGGCTCTGTCCTGGTCCTGACTCTGCCCTGTGGTACCCTCCTGCCACAGCCTGTTGTTTCCCTCCCAGTGTTGTCTCCAGTGCTGCTGGGGTCCCTCCTTGTGAGGACAAGGGATGCAGAGTGCAAGCCCTTTGGGGAGACCTTGGTGTTCATGCTTATTGTCAGGCAAGGAGTAAGTTATTTGACCTTGTGCCTCAGTTTCTTCATCTGTGTTATAGGACTTTTTTTTTTTTTTTCCAATGTATTTGGTCCAGGGTGTCACTATGCTGCTTGGACTCTTAGTGATCTCCTGTCTTCAGCCTCCCCAGTGTTGGGATTATAAGTGTGCACCACCACACCCCCATCTCATTGGCCCGGGGATGGGGTTGTCGCAGCATGTGGTGCCGGGGATTGAACTCTGGTCCCTGTGCTTGCCTAAGGAGGTGCTTAGTCCCCTGAGCTATCTTGCTGCCCTACAGGCTATTTGGAAACGTGAATAATTTTGGTTTCTTTGTATTTTGAGTCAGGGCTCACCGTACAGCCTGCTGAGGCCTTGGACTCACGGCGACCCCTCGTTTTAGCTTCCGCGTACTGGGATCACAGGCCTGCCCCTCTGCCCTATTACCGGCTTACAGCTTAGTTTGTCCACCATGCCAGCTTGCTCCGGTGTGCACCTCCAGAGCTCCTAGGTGCTCAAGCGAGTGGGCATGGGTATGGCAGCGGCTGAGCACTAGGCACTGGTGCCAGGGCGGGCGCTGCTGTCCCTGCCACCACGCCAGCCGGTCTGCGTGCCTGTGGCCTCAGATCTGTCCCCATCCCATGGACACTCCTGACACTCTGATCAGCTGCATCTGTGCCCTCACAGTCCTCTCCTGGCCCGCCCATGGTGTCCCTTGGCAGGCAGCGCCCAAGGGCCCTGCGTCCAGCACCTAGTGCTCCCGAGCCTCCAGCCACACCCCAGCTTCCATCCCCCAGGGGCAGGGCTGGGGGCTCAGGAACCAGGCCCCAGCACCTCCCAACAAGCCCAGGCCCTCGGACACATTCTTGCGGGCAGGGCAGGCCCACTCTCAGTGCTGCCAGGAGCAGGGAGGGTTCTGGTTGCTCTGGATCTGACTGACCTTTCCTGCCCTTGCTGAGGCTGGAAAGGAAAGTCCTTCGGTAGAGGAAAGCCCTCCCTCTCCCCTCCCCCACCCCTCCCCACCCCTCCCCTCTCCTCCTTCTCCCCTCTTCGTTGGCGGATGCAAAACAATTTTGCAGTGAGATGGGGGAGGGGCTGAGGTACAGGGCTGCGCCTGGGCACACACTTATCCTATTGCGGCCCTGCGCGGCCACAACCCCCTACAGACCCCGGAGGGCTCTAGTGCCCTCTCCTCCTGTCTCATACACTCTAGGGGCTTTTGGGGGCAGGGTTCCGGCCTCCTAGGATTTTGTTCAGGATTCAAGGTGGAACCCTTGGGAGAAACCATCGCTGTTTTCCTCCCCCTAGAGATAAGCGTCTGTGGGGGAAGAGACTGGGACTTCCTGGGGAGGTCAGGAGGAAGGCAGCTGCTGGGCCTGGCAGCCCCAGGACCCTGGAGGAGACCAGTGGGACCCCTTGTCCCTATCCCAGGGGCCCTGTTTGCACATGCACCCTCTGTGGAATCCTTTTTGTGAGTGAGACAGTCTCATAATGGAGCCCAGACTAGCCTTGACCTCTTGGGCGACCTTCCTGCCTCAGCTTCCCAAGTTGCCCCTCTTGCCCAGCTACATCTGTGGGATCGTACTGTGTCGGAGGGGCTTTACGGAGTCGGGGACGGGCATCTCCCAGGCTTGACTTCCTTGCTGAGAACTGCAGGATGGGTACAGTTGGTGGCCAGGAGCCTGCCTTGTCTCCTGGCTCATGGAGTCTCCTTTTTTCTGCCCCGTAGATGGCATCTGTTACGGGGATGCTCGCTTTGACACTGTCAGCGAGTCTGGAACAGCTACGCTGAAGGCCCGGCCCCGGGTGCGGCCCCTGCTGACCTTCCTCCCGCTGGTGAGTGCGGCTCTACCTGGGGCCCCTGGCGGCGCACACAGGAAGGTGGGAATCTGGGTGATGGCTCCTCCCTGGTGAAACCCCAGGAGGCACCCGGGGTGGCACCCAAGCCTGCCAGGCGCTGCCCAGGCGCTGTCTGCCAGCAAGCTGACTGAACCTGGGCACCCAGCCTGTGGCAGGGCTGGGCAGAGGAACACCGTTGGACGCAGGGTGGGCAGGGCAGCCAGTGCCGCCGTGAGCCGTGGTCCCTGAGGGCTCCTTGGAGGAGGTGGCACCTGAGCTGCAGGACAAGCAGCAGGGAGCCCTGGGAGAGCAGCCCTGCAGACACTCTTGCTCTGTGAGTCTAAAACCACAAAAACAGTTTTAGGTTCATGGGGTGGGCCGGAAGCTGCGCTTTGGTTCTGGATGAAAGAGACCCAAAGCAACTAGCCTGTGATAGGTTCCGTGTATGGAATGCAGAGTTCCTGGGCCGCAGGGACCTCTAAGCCGGGCGTGCAGGGGAAGCTGTGAGTGTACACGGGGCACTGCCACATTTCCTAGTGGCTGTGTTAAAAGTAAAAAGACAGGGGCCAGGGAGATAGCTCAGGGGAGCAAGTGGCGAAGTGCCTGCCGGGCAAGCATGAGGTCCTGAGTTTAATCACTGTTACCTTAAGAAAACAAAAAAGTAAAAAGACACAGATGAGGGGTACGTGTGATCACTTGGTGGCAGTCAACAGTCCCACAAAAATAAACAAAAGAGAAGAAAAATGAAATAGCTCAGATAGGCCCATTTAACCTTTTTTTTTTTTTAAACATTTATTTATTTATTTTGTGTGTGTGTGTGGCCAGCTCAGCCCACCAGGGGGCGCAGCTGGCTGGCATGTGGTGCTGGGGGATTGAACCGCGGTCCCTGATGCTTTGCTAAGCTTGTTCCAAGTAGGTGCTTTAGACCACTGAGCCATCTCGCCAGCCCTAACCTTTTTTTGTTTGACACAGGGCTTCATTATGTTCAGACTGGCCTTGAACTCACTTTGTAACCCAGCCTGGGCTTGAACTCCCAGTGATCCTCCTGTTTTCAGCCTCCCCGGCGCTGGGATTACAGGTGTGCACCACCGCACCCAGTCTCAGGTGGCAGCTTGGTGGCCCTGGAGATAGGGCTGGCGTGGCATGTGGTACAGGAGATGAAACCCTGGTTCTTGTGTTTGCCTAAGCAGGTGTTTAGCCTGCTGAGCTATCTTGCTGGCCCCCATTTTTGTTTTTTGAACTGGGGATTAAACTCAGGGATTGACACTGAGCTACATCCTCAAGCCCTTGTTTATTTTTTATTTTCCCCTCAGGGTTGTTTTTTTTTTTTTTTTTTTTTTGCGGAACCGGGGATTGAACTCAGATCCTTGCGTTTGCCAGTCAAGCGCTTATCCTACTGAGCCATCTCCCGGCCCCTATTTTTTATTTTAATACAAAGTCTTGCTAAGTTACTAAGTTTGCCCAGGCTGGACTCCAACTTGGACTTCTCCTGCCTCAGCCTTCCAGGGCGCTGCCACACTCAGCTCAAATTATTATTATTACTTTTAACTTTAATAATACATTTTACTTACCAATAGATTCAAAAGATTTGCATTTCCGTACTTGGCCAATATAAATATAGTTGTGATTTTCACATTCTCTTTTTATTTAGACTGTGTCTTCATAATCCAGAGCATTGCCTGGATAGCACATCCCAGTGACACTCAGGGACTCTCTGGCCCCCGTGGCCAGGGCCTGCCTTGCGGGCATCCCAGGCCCGGACCAGGAGCAGTCAGCCTCCCAAATGTGGGCTCTATTCTGTCTCAAACCCTGGCTTGGGCGGGGCAGCGCTGTCTCTGTGTTCAGAGCTTATGGTACCTGGTAGACTTTACGGCGGCTACGCCTTGTCCCAGGCGCCACACACCCTGCCCAGCGCTGCTGGACACAGCCCTCTCCCCAGGGTTCCGTGATGTGGTTCTGTTTGACCAATTCTGCCTGCCAGATCCTAAGATTCAACGTGAGGCTGACCAAGTGTGACGCCTGCCGCACCCCCTCCCCCCGGGCTCTGGGAATATGACTCAAAACACTTTACTTTCTGCTTATAAAGCAACTCATGGACATTATAAGCCAATATAGAAAGTATACCACCAAGCTGGGCATGATAGTGCCTGCTTGAAATCCCAGCACTTGAGAGGCTGAGGCAGGAGGGTCGCTATGAGTTGGAGGCCAGCCTGGGATACACAGTAAATTTAGGACCAGCCTGAACTGCATAGCAAGACTGTCTCAAACAAAAGAAACCAACAGAAGGAGGCATAAAGCCATGATTCCAGAGATGCTTAAGGGGCTGGGGATATGGCTCAGTGGAATAAGTGCTTCCCTGGCAAGTACAAAGGCCTGAGTTCAATTCCTGGTTCTGCAAAAAAAAAAAAAAAAA